ACCAAATTTATCCCATTTAGCTACTAAACCAACAAATTCCATTAAGAAGCATTTTTGTCAGCAGGTTTATTTAATCATTTCAGATACCAAGGTTATTTAGGAGACTTAGAAGTTCTATGTGGGGAAAAACCAAACAAATTGTTTGGTTTAAGGAGCAGAACTCCACTGTTATTGGATAGAAAACAGAAAACAGCCATTTTCTCGTTAGAGGCAGCTGTTTAAAAAGTGACTCACCACTGGACCTGTGTGCGCCAACATCCTGCAGACTAAACTATGAGGTGATGAGAACGCTGGAGACTGGGAGAAGTCACGGTGTTTACTTCAGATTGCTTGGATGAGCACAGGTGACAGTGATTATTGGTAATAAATGCAAGGCGGAGCTGAGGCCATGGGCGGAGGGAGGATAAAGCAGGGCTCTGGGCAGAGACATGGAAAAGCCCCCCCTTCCTCTCAGCCACCAATAATGCAACTTTCTTTTGTRGGTGTTAGAAGTGGCTCCTCAATGACATCTTCTACAAAGATATGAGTGAAGTCATTTAACAATAATTATGCCATAAAGTCTTTTTGTTTCTTTATGAATGATTTGTGCGTCGGTTAAGTTTACATTTCTTTGTGGTCACGTTTAAAKCACTTTGTGTTGCACTAATCTTTTACTGCCTGTGTGTTTTATTAGTTAGCAAATAACGTCTCAGCTGCATGTCTTTTTGTTTTCTGAAATTTATATACACTGATGGTCATCATTGTGATGTTAATAAGGAACTTGAATGATTTATTTGTAATTTTACAAGGGTGAAATCATGGTTATAGAACTTGATTSAATGTCTTGTTTAATGGCGGTTGGAAAACACTTTGAACTATGAARTTGCTAAGTTTCGTAAAAGAGCTTTCTGACCTCTGTAAGTTCTATTAAATCAAAATGCAATTTCACATCTTTAAAATCCTGTTCCAACTCCAAGAATAATTGTTGATTCGATGCAGTTTTGCCCCCTTTTATCACCACAAGCGTRGCCCCCAGTTTGTTCACTTAGAGGCTAATTCTGCTCGGGATGCTTCCTCTTCTCGTCCTGGGAGCCACTTCACTTTATTCCAGATGCGGCGCTTTCAGATGATGGTTCTAGAAAATTACACGCAATTTGTTCATGCATATATTGTCACGACCATTTTCTCAACAACGCTACAATCACGGAGCGAAGATGAACAGAAAATGGATTTAACCTCATTTGTTCTCAGCTCTCCAGAAGTCCAAGTGATTTTAACCTAGTATTAATACATAAAAAGAACACTCCGAGTCATTCAGGTTTTATTCACCTTTTTTTTTTTTCTCTTGACGTGCATAATATCCAGCTTAGGTACCTTACACATAACAGTTCTCACTGAAACCCCATCACCATTTTTATTCCMTTCGTTTTTCAAAACCCAACCCAGAATCAGAAATAATAAAGATTTGATTTGCATAAATAAAACAAAAGCAGCTCTGGTCTGGAACAAATAATCAGTTCAAGATGTTGACGCGATAAAACGGTAAAAATAAGACTTAAGAGTTTTATTGTGCGGCTGCATCAAGACAAAAAAAAAAAAAAACTTTAAATTTGAGTTTAGTCAAAAGTGGCTGATTTAGAATTTGGCACAAAGGTAAAAGTGATGAAACCAAACCCCAATCATTGATTTTAAACTACACTGAAGATCTAAATCTGACCCTAATCATTTGCTACAGAGTAGCTTCTATTTAAACAGGTCAATATTGAAGTTGTACATCTCACATTTCCCATTTGGCTTGAATTTATTAAGGCTGTAAATCGTTCTGGAGGGCAGTGCAGATGATGCAACACAAGCTTATATATCAACACAAACAGTAGTATAAACTGGCATTTTACAATATATAAATCTATTGAATGTAAAGTGCTAGGCAATAAGACTATTAAACTGCTTAATAACTCTAAAAATATTCAGTCTCAGTGTTAGGCTGCAACGTTTGCTAATGTACAAGAAAATACTACCAGGTTGTGGTTAGTTAGAATAACCCGACTGCAGAAAAAGCACCTCGACACTCTTATTTTCGTCTTCTCCCATTAAGATGTTTTTTAAAATGTCTTGAATCGAATGAACGACGAGGTTTATCTCATCACTGCGTCATGCAACCAGCCTGCCTTTGGGACTCCGTTTCAATCCATTTCTTCTCCACCTCAACCTAAAAAAAAAAAAAAAAACAGAATGTATGTTATAGTTTAACTACTATAGCATCAGTAGAACAAAGATTCATGTGAGGACTGGTTCGGGTAGAATCTCACTGGGCTGGTGATCTGGGACCGTACTTACCAAACTTTTTTTTAATAGTATTTATTCATTTCATTTTTAAAAAACAAACATTATATACAACAAAATACACATCAAATAAAATGAAAGTCAGCAGAAGAAGAAAAAAATCTTATGATATAACAAAACAAAAAATTCAACTCCTCAAACTGTAACTCATACAAATACAAATTAAACAATTTCYTTTTTCTTTAACAATTTGGCTTTGATCATTTTTTAAGGAATTAATTGATCCAATGCTTTTATAATCATTTTCCAGATTACTCCAGAGTCTTATACCTTTTACTGAAGTGCATCTGTCCTTCAAATCTGTTCGGATTTTCGATTTAACAAACATTTCTAATCCGTTCACATTTTAGCAGCTTTTCCTCTTATCAATATTTCATTGGATGTTTGAAGGTAACACATTTTTATGAGCTTTATACATAGCCTGCAGAATATGATATTCTACCAATTTATTATTTTAATTGATGAAACAATATGTTAGATGGATGATAGTAATGCTTTCTTGTGATAATTTTTATGGCTCTTTTTTGTAAAATAAAAATGAAATGATGAAATGATGACCCCTACACTTTGCTTAAAGTGAGACCGAGACGTTTGATAACTGACTTTCAAGCCCAGCTTTGCAACATTTTTTTACACTTCGTAGCAGCATTCTTAAGAGTATTTCTAAGAGGTTTGATAAACGCGGACCCTGAACTCATCACGGCTCACTTGTTGAGACTGCAACGAAGAATCGGTGCATTTTCTCTCTACACTGATCTCCAGCGGTCGAAGCCCAGGGAGATAAGACGTGAGGGCAATGTCTCACCTGACAATGATAGCGCGTCCAGCTGGTCATGTGCTTCTGCGGCTGGATGTCGTTCACGGTGCCGAAGGACTTGACTCTGGTCTGCGACACGACCGCGCCCATGATTTCACATTCCATCGTCACGTAAGGGTACCAGTTGCTGGGGATCTCCTGATCGGATCCCAGCTCCAGTTTGCAGGAAAAAGAATGGGGAWGGTCCACGGCTGCAGAGAGCAGAGACGTTTTCTGAAATATTGTGTGTTTTTGACGTTTTTCACCCACCGTGTGTGCGGTAGTTACCGGTGTTCTTGGCCGGCAGCCTGTCGATCCTCCACACCACYGCTGAATAAACGCTCTCATACTTGACCGACCCGATCGACACCTGCATGACCGGCTGCGAGTCRGCAGCGCTGATGGAGCCCAGGCAGGCTTTCCTGTTCATCCGGGCCTTCAGGGACTTCTGCCGCAGCAGGGCCACCGTCTGCGTCACTTTGACCCAGTCGCCCGGCACCGGCACCCGGATCACCACGTTCTCGCACAGCGGGTAGTGGAAGTCTGAGCCGAGGGAGGCGAGGAAGGTGGCGGACATGTTGAGGAAGGCCTGCAGCTCCACGTGGGCGCCCTGAACCGTGACCACGGCTTTGATCGAGAAGGGAACCTCGGTGCAACCGAGGACCGCCGTTTTGTACCGCATCAGCTCCACCCTGCACCCGTCAGGAGCGGAGAACTTCACGAGCTGGGACCTCTGAAACTCCGCCTCGTTAACACAGTTGTGAAAGTGGCAGTCGGTGATCTCCATCCAGAGGTCCCCGTCCTCTTCGGACCCATAGCTGGAGTCGAAGTGCAGCAGCCTGAGGTCATTCAGAGCAAGGAAGCAGTCCCCCTGTCCGTTCAGAAAGGCCAGGCAGTGGATCTGGGTGAAGGCCGCTCGCTCTTTAACTCCCCCCGACGTGTCCAGCCGAGTCCAGATGTGGTCGGTGATCTGCAGCGACAGCTCCTGCTCCTCGTAGCTCCGCCTCTGCTGGTGCGGCGGGCACAACTTGAAGATCTCCTCCTCCATGGAGGCGACCAGGTCCTCCATGTCGGCGGACACCGTGGAGCCGAACTTGAGCAGCTGCTCCACCTCCGCCTCGTGACTCACCTCCAGCTTCGGGTGGAAGCGCTTCTTCTCCGTGTAGGAAAAATGCTCCACCTTGACAGTGAGGACTTTCCGGGGCTCGCTGTAGCTCTCCACCTTGAGGTCCGAGAGCCGGCACTGCGGGAGGAGCTGGAACTCTTTGAATGGCTTCTCAATGCCCTTCTCGTAGTACATCTGCAGCACGCCCCCCGGCAACAAGCGGAGGTAGATGGGCCCCCACTGTCGAGAGGACATGCGGTTCTTTTTCTCCGGAATCCTGAGCATGACGGGCCAGCCGTCTCTCCTCTGGCTGCGAAACAGGCCTCGAGGGATGAACCGAGTCGAGCCTTCGCCCAGCACCTCGTTTCGTTTCTGCGCCTCCGTTCCYTCGTCCGGCCCCGTTCGRGAKCCTCCCAGTTTGTCGCAAACTAAAGAAAAAGAGTTCTGGAGTCCGTGGCGAGGAGGTTCGCCGCCGTCTTTGGTCCGGATAAAGAAACGCGGCAGGCTGTTGTTGGTGTCCGAGTCAGAGTCTGAGGAAGAGTAGCAGCCGTCGGTGCCATCTCTGGAATCGTCCCAGAAGGGGTTAAAGTGCCCGGAGTTGTTCTTGTAGGAGGGGAAYGGGCTCGGTCCATCTGAGGCGTGGCTTGGTGTTTCTGGTGTGGGAACCGAGACGGCTGATGGGCTGGAGAAACTTCGGAGGAAGGGATTCTTTTCATTCGATTGGCAGCGAGGTGGGGTCGCTGTGTCGGCGCCGCTCACAGACGTGCAAAAGGACGATTTACGCAGCGCCGAAGGTTTGCGACTCGAGCAGCTCTGAGGAGATTCCAAACCGCCGAAGCTCCAGGATGTATCTTTGATTGGTGGGAGCACCAGCTTCAGGCCGTTGGGCCGAGGCACCGATGTTTTAATAAAGTCTGGGGACTGCAGGGGCTTCCGGGGCGACGAGAGAGGTGTGACGTCATCGTCAAAAGTGACCCAGTTTGAAGGATTAGTGGAACACATGGCTGGAGTCCAAACGAAACGCTCCTCCAGTCCAAAGTTCTCGCCCTGTTAAAAAAAAACACAACAAAATCAGTTTTATTTCATTAAAAACATTCATCTTTAACAGTTCGCTTCTTTTTTTAAAACACAAACAACTCCTGTTATCCTGTCTGCAAGAAAGAAACGAGAGCTCACGAGGACATAAATTAAACATTTTTCCTAAAGGTGCTCTTAAAAGCTTAATGAGAGTCTATAAATGAAACAAGAACATTTCTGCAGGAGTACAATTAAAGACTCGGCTGATGGGCAAAAAAAATAAAAAGCTTAATTAATGTCTGCCGTTAGAGGACTGAAACATCAGTGGATGATTTCTCAGGGATACCACAAATTAGAGCTTTAGATATGCTTTTATTTTGGTTTAAATCAGTCCGTCCTAACGTTTGTTAAAGGAATGCATATCACACTGCATTATAAGCCAGAGTTTAAGTAGATTATTTTGTTTCTGTTTGGGTCAAAGCTCTAAATTAATCCCATGTGATAATGTCACGTGTCACCAATTAGGTATATAGAGGCAATATCACYTGGCTTTTCATGGTCAGGGCGAGCGGCCATCTTGTGCAGGGCAAGGACCTCATCCATCGTGCAGGAAAAGCCTTGTTTCATGTACCATTTGCTTAAATTAAACATGTTATTATTATAGGTCAGAGCATCAATGAAATTTAGTTGGATGTTAAGAATCATTATTTTGATTCTAATAGAAATGTTTATCACTTTATTTTATCATATCAGACAAAAACATGTTGCCAAGGTACACACGTCTAACCAAAATAATGCTTTTTAGTAGTTTGTAACAATAAATTCTAATTCATTAAGTAAAAATTATAATTGCAAATATAATGATTGTCCATTTTACAATATAGTCATTTAATTTTATTTACTACAGTTATGATAAAAGTTCAAATTATAAGCTATCAGATTCAGTTTATTCTCAGCAACATGAATCACACTGACATACCTCAGTGCATAAATTATGGAAAACCTGTACATATTTTTAATTCATTGTTTCAGCTGATTATCTCATCATTTGGTATCTTTTTTATATGAAGGTTTTATTATGGATTTTATATTTGCATGCATTTTTTTGGGTTAAATTACTCATATTTACGATATTTAACAGGTTGCTATGATTTGACTTTCATTTTTAATTATTTATTTTCTATTTTATGAGACATGTTTTCAGGAAAAATGTGGGAGACCAGCCATTTTCATTTGAAAGTATTCGTACCAATTCCAGGCATAATCGTTTATAACAGCTTGATCTCACGCTATTTATTTTTCTTTCCATCTGTGATGAAAAACTAATATGTATACGCGATTCTATTTGGAAACCTAGCCATGATAAACTGTTTACACAGAGAGCCTGCCCCTCACAAGATGGCGGCACGGTTGTACCACAGTGAAGCAGGCATGTCGCCTCTATTCCATATACAGGTACCTCATTGGACGTCACGCTCAGAGTACGTGTTGTGAACAACTCTTAGCTACAAACACACAAAGTTTTAGCTCAAAATCTTTAAAGTGGACTGAATTATAGCCATTTTTTTGTTTRCTAAAATCACTTGGCTGTGGRGGTCGTTTTGAATTGGGTTGGCTCCAAAAGTTGAACAGTTGTAGAGGTACATGAAACGATTATTTGCTGTAAGTTTCATTAAAAACTATCTAGTGGTTCAAGAGATATTTTGCTAACAGACATGCACACATGCCTTTTAGCGGAGTGCGTTAAATATTTAAAACCCATCAGAGAGAATTCAGCCTTTGCAGCAAAAAAAAAAAAATAAAATAAAATAAAAATAACTTGGATCTAAGGTACACACAAAAAAAATAAATAAAGCTGATTTAATGTGCGCGCCAACGCTTTAAGATGATTGTCATCCTTGTGGAGCAAATTTGAAAAGAGATTTAAATCGCGCGGCCAATTTAACAGTAGTTAGGAGAGTAAACATGCTGCAATCCTTGCACAGCCTTGCAGTTAATTTTCCTGCTCCTCAATCACAGTCGGCCTTCTGATGAGCTGGCAGCTCCMCTCAGAAACACCAGCTCTGAGAGGGAGGAGAGAGWGAGAGAGAAACCACATCTAAACTGKTGAAGCTTCATCTCACATTTAAAAAGAGGAGCTGAAAGCCTCAATTACAGCCTCCTCCCTTACAGATCTGTGTCCCGCAGAAGTTTCCTTGAAGGAACTGCGCGTCGCCTTTTAGTGTTTTAAGTTCAAATCGTTTTTGGTGTTAGCTGCATTTCACGAACCGTCAGCTGGGATTCCAGACGAGTTCCTGGATGTGGCACAGGGGAGATCACTGCCCGTCTCTCCCTGGGCTCGATGCAAATAAAAAATAAAATAAAGGGACACTGTTAAAACCTACGCAGGACAAAAGCAGACATTCCCCTGGAGAGAAGCGGCTCTGCCCACAGGAAATACCATCCAGCTGTGTGAGCTGACGGCGAATATTATCTTAATGTCAGTTCGTCACAGTTCACAGACGTGGGCACAGATCAGTGGGTCAGTATGTCTGCCTGTTACTCACTAAAGTCAGGCGCTGGGAAATAAAGACTTAGACTTATTTCAATAAAAATGTATTTTACGCGCAGATTTATGAACAGGTTTTATCTGACATGAGTAGTTAATATTCTGAGATGTACAATTTTCTTAAGATGTTATTTAAATGTTAATGTTATTTTCATTAAGGGTTTTTTTTCTGAGTGTTATATATGATGTGAATAGATGTAGAACCCCTTAACTGTCTTTGTTCCACCAGTGGGCAAAAACGATGCAGTTTTTACCTACCGGTTTCCACATGATACCGGGGGCTTTTATTTTGAAAACTATGGTGTCAGACGACTTCCTCCAGTTCTTACCTTTAGTTTGACACCCTTAAAAAAACAAAACAAAACGGGCTTTTAAGGAATTTCAGGGGCAGATGTTACGGAGATAATGTTAAATGCTATTGTTAAAGTTTGTTTAATGAAACCATGTTTTTTTTTTGTTTGTTTGTTTTTATTTTGTGCCGGGGCACTTTTGTAAATGAGATTTTTAATCTTAATAAGCTTTTCTCTCCTGGAAAATTTTAAAAAATATATTAATAATTGAAAATAAGTATAATAATCAGTGGATGCCATCATATTTTATCATTAGCCAACACAAAAACTGACATATTTCAGGAATTTTACAGACACTGAGCTAAAATTAATGTCGTAGCAGAGAGTCATTCATAAAATGATTTTAGTCTAAAACTGCAGAATGAAAGGTGACGGGCAGCAGGAGTTCCTTCAAGAAACGCTACGCCTTTATTATACTATTTAAATTCAATTTATAAATGGTAAAATGTGCATTCCTTATAGCTAATCAGATCTAATGCTAATGTTCAGAAAGTGTCACAAAAATCGCAATCATTTCTTCAATTAAATCATGCAAAGCTTCACAGATCGAATGTCAAAAACCACAAAGTGTGTCGACGCGCCACGCCGACAAGTTCTGCTTGAGAACTGGACCACGACAGAGGAGAACCGCAATGAAACAATGACTGCTGTTAGAGCTGGTTCAGAATTATTTAGAATCTGAGGTCAAGTGAGGATCGAAGGAGTCATTTCAAATA